TTTTTTTTTACCCGGGGCATAAAACCCTTCCCCCGGGAAAAAAAAAAAAAAAAAAAAATAACAAAAAAAACCAACAAGCAGGATATAGCAAAAAGAAAAGAAAGGACTATTAAATATTTTAATAAAGTATATATATATTGTCTTCTGCTTTTTCTTTTATACTACATCTAAGTGCACCAAAAAGGGTAACAAAATGCTGAGGTAACTTGAAAATTTTGTAAAAAAAAAATAGATTTATTTTTAAAGGCTTTCCTATTATAGATTAAGACATGAAAAAAAGGAATTGTCAGCTTTACAAGAGGAAGTAAAATGTAAGTCACAGTAGCCACAAAATTAAAAATTTGTGAGATGTAACTAAAATTCTTTCTCCTTTTGACAGATCTGGGGAATTTTAGTGGTCGGACAAGAAGTGCTGTCTCTGTACGTGAAGGTCAAGGAGTGGTTCTGATGTGCTCCCCTCCACTTCATTCACCAGGTACAGAAGGGTGCAGCTTGTTTGCACACTGGTCCATTACAGTATGCTCATTATTGGATGCTCACTATTTTACATACAATGTGTATTTGCAGAATTTAAAAATAGAATATCCACCATTCTGCTTTGTTTTTGGAGTACCGAAGGAGTAATTAAAGCTCATACACTGCAAATGCCACTGAATAGCAGCTGAATTTCTGTTACAAGATTGTCTTATTGCCAGTATAAAACTTGAATATAACAATAGTCTTTGTGCCACCAGTGGTGAATATGCTGCCTCAAGGTCACAGAAGATTTCTTTTAGAGTTTAAGAAACCTTCAGAAATTGTTCCAAATGTCAATGTCAAGAGACAGTTGTTGAATACAAATTGTCTTTTGTTTTCGGTAGTACAGTCATGATTTTGGTTGCTTCCTCTTGCTGTATAGATTAGTTTCCAGTACAACTGCATTATTCCTAGAAGTCAGAAGTATTGTAAAACCCATTAAATGCCTGTGGATTCCCAAATGAAAGTGTAAATATTACAGAGAGGTTATATTTTTGCTTTCCGATTGGCTCTCGTGCAATGTCTGCAGATAGCTAAGTGTGTCTTCGTATTTGCAACCATGTAACTCTTGGGGATGCAGTGCTAGACACTTTTTTTCAAAATATGCAGTATAGTCTATCCTTTTCTCTTTGGAAAATCAGGCCTGTACTGACAGGATTTTTAATTTGTCCAAATCTGAGCCCTGGAAAAAGTCACACTGCAGAGGGAAAAGGTGCAAAAAACAAAAACCTTCACTGAACTTCTGTTTGAGAAATGTGTTCAGATTCTATTCATTCTGAAATGATTGTTATTACTGTATTACAGCTATCAATGTAATTAATCATCTGGCCATCTCTATGCTTTTCTCTGTTCTGGTTTCATTATCTTATTATGATTGCTTTTATAATCTACTTCTGAAGTTGACACTGCAGTATCTCCGTGATGGAATTGAGTGCATGATGTTAAGGCTTAATTGTGACAAGTAAGCAGGCAGAGAAAAGGCATAGGCAGAAAAAGTGAGAGACAATTTCAACACCACAGCTGAATTTGATTTCTCCAAACAAATTGAGAGTGTAAGGATAGATGGCCACCACAAGTGAAGTAGTCATATGCCTTTTAACAGCTGTCATTCCACAAAATGCACCTTATATTTCATCAAACTGTTTCTATTTTTTTTCCTAAAATTATGCTTTTAAATTTATATCTAGACAGAGTCCAGTGCAATGGTCTACTGTAATACACACATTACTTTTGATGATGAAAACTGGTATCTTTCATTTTAATCAATGGGCCAGCCCTTGCTGTGGAAACTACAGTGCCCACAGGCAGTGTTCAGCTGATTTAGTTTATATTGTTTGAGCACTGGTATGATATGCCAGCATTAAAATTATTTCTAGAAAAATATTTTAAGCCCCTGTTGGCATAATTTTGTCACCATAGCTATGCCAAGAAAGGTTCTGCAGTGTGGAAGAGTAATCACTGAAAGCTGAAAAATTGCATTGATATGCAGATGTAAACACAACCTCATGTGAATGGGAAGGAGACTTGGCTTCCCTTTCTTTTGTTTGCCGTGGTAATGCAGAACCACGTGCAATTTCCGTCCATCTTCCTACTTGCAAAATATGAAGAGGTTTTAAGCCCGTGTGATACTGCAGTGAAACTGCAAATGGTATTAGCACAGTGGCTGGAATCTTCTGGGAAAACAGAGACCTACCTCCATGGGCCTTCTAAAAAATTCCACATCTGGTTTAAACAATAAATGATTCCACAAAGTTCTGCTTTCTAAATAGTCCTAAGAAATGCTGACCCTTAAAATCACCTGGGAGACAAAATTCAAGTGAATACTAAGCTATTGTAGTAGATATATCTAAGGTGAAGACTATTTAAAGCATGTTTGAAATGTATGAACATCTAAAATTAACTAGATCGTGAGTTATGGTGGTGTTTTTGATGATAGAGGAATTTTTGCAGATAAACATTGCAAGCTCTGCTATATTGATTTGTTCACATTGATCAGCACCTTTAGAAATAATTTTCGCTTACTTAACCCAGGAGATAAACCCATGATACAATATCAAACTTAATCATTCTTCAGAACCTCATAAGCAATTTTTCCTTCAACAGAATCCCATTCCTCAATTTCTAAAGTCAATAACTACTTAGAAAATTGTCAGGATTGAGTCCTTTTAGGAAATGACCATATCATTGTGGGAAAAGAAATATGTCTAAGTGAAAAAATACTATTCTAAAAGAGGTATAGTTTTATTAACATATTTTCATATAGAAGATGAAGTAAATACCTTAGATTGAACAATAACTTCATTCTATTCTAGAAAAATCTGAAAGTCTTTACAAAGCACCACTCACAAAAAAAATATTTATTTTTTTTTGCAAGAATTTAATCAGAAAACAAGTTTCATGTGTATACAGGCTTTATTTCTGTTTATTAATGCTGTGATATATTATCAAGAGGTTATGTAATGAACAAACACAAGCTAAAACAAAAAATAAATACCTGAAATATATTCTGAATACTTGCAGTGCAGATTCAGATGAGAAAAATATTTATTGTTTTTAATAAATAAGTTTGTCATAAGTTATTGTCACGTTTGCTGAGAAATAACTGAGAAGAAAAATGAAGGAGATTTTGGGGGAAAACACTGTGAACTTTCAGAATGTTGAAGGAAAATACATTCAACAAAAAGGATTTTATGCAGACTCCTTAAGACAAACAGCCACCAGCAGGTTGTCACCTCTTGTTTTTCCTGGACCATTACTCAAAAAAAAATGCTGCCTCTGACTTCATTTAGTCCTGTAACATCTTAATGTGCCTAGTATAGTAGCTTTTCCACTAATACTTATTGTTGTTGCAAATCCTTAAATTGTCCCTTGTGAAATATATTAATCATAGATAATCTGTTCACCTGTAAACATAAAATTGTATCTTTTTTTTCTTCTTCTTCTATAAACAAAACATTCAAATCTTCCCCAGCCCCCACTTGTTTTTTCTCCAAGATGAGTTTCCCAGGCAGTTAACTCTTAGGTACCCTTGCTAAGCAAAAGGTTCATTAATCACCAACTGTGTAAATAACAAGGTTTATTCAATGTCTACATTTTAAAAGGCCTCTACTGCTTTTTTCCATAAACAGGATTATGGCTTTTCATTGTGGTATTCTAGTGGATGTAAATATAGGGTTTTATTCAGTCATTTAATCATCTTAATTACAAGTTTTGCCATAGGGAGATTAAAAATGAATGGAAGACTTCATCTAGACATACATGTTTCCCTCAGAATTAGTACTTCCAACCAGCTTTTTAAGGCTTTTATTCAAAGCTTTCAGTATGAGCTTAAAAGGGAATGACGATTCCCATTGTTAGGAGAGCAGCACTGATGCATATAGGGGGAGGCAGATGTTGCTCCCTCCTGCCTCAGAGGGGCACTGCTGTCTGGAGGGAGCACTGCTATGTAATCTTTCCTGATCACGTAACATCTGTACAGATGTTAAACTATAACTTTTTTAAAAATCTCTTTCTAAAGGACAAAGCTGATTCCATTTGGAAATTTTATAATAGGCTGCATCTTTTATACCTCCCTTTCAGTGTTGTAAAGCTGTAGTTTTCATGACAAATGCTTCAACAAAGATGATTAATGCCAGGGTTATGGGCATCATAGTCCTTTCTATGCATCTTTTGGTTGTCTGCATAGTGTGTTGCTAAACTGGCAAGATGCTAAAATAAAAAAAAACCTCTTTCTACCAAGGTCCAGAAGGTTTTGTCCTCTTCTTCTGTTTCCTATACAGCTGTCTTAGTCCTCATACTAATTGGCAAAAGTCAAATCAAATTATTTCATTTGCAGCAAAACTGCAGCTTTCGACTGCAGGTCCACAGCCAGTAGGAAGCCAAGTCCAGCTGAAGTGCAGTAGCTCTCTAGTTAGAATTCCCCTGCTTAGGTCCATACTGCACAAATTATACATAGAAATAATGAGACAGGCTCTAAATTACCTCATTCAGATACAGAATTGTTAGGCACAGATTCCTTCAAGCAAATAAGCTATGATAACAATTTTTTTATATTTGGGCTGGACTGCCCACATTATGCTCATTAGCTTGTTTACAGGCAATTGGCTCAGATACCTGCATGCAGGACACAGTAAATTCTGTTTTGAAGACATCCATACACCCTCTGGCTCTCTGCTTACCAAGCTGGCTTTTGTGAATGCAATTCACAGATGTCTAACTTTATGTATATGAAGGTCACAAGGTTATCTTAAGGCTGTGGATTGAGTCCCAGGATCCCGGCAACTAACCGTGGCATTTCAGTGCACAGCATTAGAGAACTTCAGCTTTTATGCTGATCTAACCATTAGCAGTTTCTTAAAAATCATAGGAAGCCTGGGTGAACTTAGATCTCTGAATTTCAGTGTCTCTCTGGACATGAATGAATGCTACTTGATCATGCTTAACCTGTTGCTATAGTTGAGATTTCTTCCTGACCATGATTTGTGACATCCATATAGTTCTGTATTTATTAAATAGTAAGATAACATCCAGTTTCTTTCTATAATACATTTTTTCAAATACGAATATTCAAATAATCTTTAGCATAGAAAGCTATATAATTTGCATCCAACTTTCTTCAAGGAGAGACCAATGTGTGGGGAAAGTCTCATTTCTCCTCACACCTTGAGAACAAGGAGGACTGTTTTGCTGTTTCCTATCACAGCAGTGACCACTTGCAGTATTTACAAAACAACAGTTGAACAGATCATGGTTTCAACCATTTTGTCTCTTAAACTAAGCAGAACTTACTCATCACTCATTACCTTCTATTAGTAGTTAATGGAGATGAATATCTATGGAACTGGTGATGGCAAATAGAACATTTCACATTCACTAGACATAACTATCATCATTACCCAAGTTTGGGGGTTGGGTTGGTTTTATGTTTTTTTTCTTAAGTCTTACCTCAATGTTATATTG